TGCACAGAATGCACAAGTCCCTGGAAGAGGAATTCATGATTCACAAGCAAAATCTGATGTCTCGCATGAGATGAGACAGATCCTCACCTCCAGCCCCCTCATATCCTGCACTGCAGATGCCTGCCTGTAAAGAAAAGCTACATGCTTAAAAGACTATCCTGCTTTTTGCTCTTCAAGCTTTTATACCATGTCAATGAAGCCATGACAGTTACCACAGTTGATGCTCTGGGATAAGAAGCCTGTGCCCAGGGCCTGGGGCACACAGCGAGGAGACAGCTGGGTACATTTTGTTGCTGAGGGAAACAGCTTCTGAGAGCAGTTCAAGAACTTCTTTTGTGCAGTGATGGATGTGTTCATCCACAAAAGCCTGTGAAAAGGATGTGCCAGAATGAGAACTAGGAAAACTCTGTACTATTTGTCCTGTGTGTACAGTCCTGCAGACTTCACACTGACAGGTCTACCCTTTGCTGGAAAGAATGAATGATGTAAAGGAATGACTAGAAGTATAGAAAAAAATAGAAAAAAAAAAAAAAGAACCAGAAAGTGAAGGAAATTGTCCAAAACAACAGAGTGAGACGTGATGAAACAGGTAACCCAGCAGAGCAGAGGGATGCTTCAGAAGACAACATGAGCTGGAGAAGAGTCAAAGAAACTTCTGGCAGAAGCTTAAAATTGCATAAGTATGACTCTGAGGCCATGGTAGAGAATATCATAACTCCTGTGAAGAAGGCCTTGAGCAACTTTACACTGAAAGCAGCTGTAGGAGCCTCTGGAGCATGAAGTGGGAGAAAGGAAAGCCCATGTTGTCCAGCCGCAGCCATGAGGTGGGCCAGTGCCCATGGGGACAAGAGGGCAGCAGGGGATGGCTCAAGGCCAGCCCTCACCCATGGCCACCATGCCCCAGGGCTGGGCAGGCTAACAGGGGTGTGAGGGGATGAGCAGCAAAGAGCATCCCAGGAACAAGAAGCACCACTCAGTGAGGGGAAGTGCGAAGAGGGACAGCCCCAGGCACCAGGACATGCTGGGGGGCACACAGCTGGAAAGCAGCTCTGCAGAAGAGGTCCTGGTGGACGCCAAGTTGAACATTAATCAGCAATGTGACCCTGCTGCTAAGAAGGCCAACAGTGTCTTGAGCTGCCTTAGACAAAGTGTTGCCAGCAGGAGAAGCAAGGTGATCCTTCCCCTCAGCACTGGCAAGGCCACCACTGGAGGGCTGTGTCCAGACCTGGGCTTCAAGAGAAGTCCAAGAGAAACATGGATGCACAGGAGAGAGACCACCAAAACTGGCAGGAACGGGCACTGTAAGTGGCCCACCTCAGGTCTCTGCCCTCATGCAGGCCCCTGACCGCAGGGTCTCCCAGAACCACTCTCAGACCACGTGAAATTGAGGGGCTCTCTTCTGTGGAAAGGGAGTACACACCTGGGAAAAGCCAGCAAAAAATTATATATTCATTATACTCCAGTATCTTTGCAAAAGACTGTTTAACTCCCGTTCCCACAGATTTGTCAGAACATCCTACAGCAGCAAAGTATGTCTCTGCAAGGCTGTCTTTACTTATAAGAGTTGTGGGTTTGGCCTGCCACTACCTAATTTGCTCTAAATCATTGGTTTCTACTCAAGTGCTGGGAAGGCCTGGTCTCCTGCCATAAGTCCTTTTGTTTAAGCTAACTCTCATGTTAAAGTAACCACACCACAGGAACCAAGTGCAGATCCAAGGGCAAAGTCTTGGAAAGAGATGTTTGGCCATGAAGGAAGAGCTATTTATTTTCCTTATTTTCCCTTTTACTATGTAAATGCAGGTTTATGTTACACAACCTCTGAGAAATGCTAGAGTAAATGTGGGCTGGCAAATAAAATGCCCTCTGGAGGCACACTCCTCTTTTTTGCAGCAGACCAAGTATCTCCTCTGGAGGTTCTGGCCCTAGGCTTTACATAGTTATAATTAAAACTTAATGTTTTTATTGTGCTGACTTCCTCTGCAAATGCATATTAAAATAGAAATGTCATTTTCACTGCAAATGCAGATTTTATTTTTGATTTTTTTTTTACCCTAAGCATTGAATTCAAATTGAAAACAAAATCCATAAAAGATGATCTAATTTCTGCAAATTTTAAGTTGTATAATTAAGTTGTGTAAGTTGTATAACAAATTGTGATGTGCAATTCACTGCTTCTTTTTAAAAGTTTCTTGTCCAAGCTAACAAATAATGCAGTAAATTGCATTAAATTGCAATAAATTGCAAGACCCTTGATGACAGGTTACATGCGCAAAATCAAGGCAGGAGACTTCTGATGAGGTAACTTGATAATTTCTTACACGTTAGTACCTACTGTTTGGATAGCAGTTACGCTTGGCAGCTGTCATAGACCAGTAATACAGCGGCAGCTCCATCCAAGGAGCCAGCTAACCTACAGCCATCGCCCTGCTTCTGAGCAGTCAGCGGGAGCTTCCCGGGCTTGGAAGACTCCTAGGCAAGCACTGACCAGCATTAAAGTTAGTTAATTAAAACACACCCTCTGGTACTGGAGGGTTGCCTGCTTTGTTTCTGCAGGCCCTAACATTACCCACTGAGAATCACAGAATCATTTGGGTTGGAAAAGACCTCCAAGATCGCTTGGTCCAACCATCCCCCTACCGCCAATATCACCCACTAAACCATGTCCCTAAGCACCATGTTCAACCTTTCCTTAAACACCCCCAGGGACAGTGACTCCACCACCTCCCTGGGCAACCCGTCCCAATGCTTTACTGCTCTTTCTGAGAAGAAATGTCGCCCAATTTCCAACCTGAACCTCCCCTGGCACAACTTGAGGCCATTTCCTCATGTCCTATCACTAGTTAACTGCGAGAAGAGGCCAACCCCCAGCTCCCCACAGCTCCCTACCTTTTAGGTAGCTGTAGAGAGCAATAAGGTCTCCCCTGAACAGAAAGCCCATGAATCTGCTGCCTTAGCTGTAGAGTACCAGGGGGCACGGGGGAGCTTGCTTGACCTGCTGGCTTTCACAAGAAAGGCTTTCACCTGCAGGTGATGAGCAGAAGACTCAGAAGCGTGAGTCAGGGCCCAGAGCAACCAAAGGCAACAGTCATGCACCGGGAAGTCAGACACTAAGGCCACACAACCACAGCTTATCATTTATTGGGATAAGCCACTTCTGCCCCCTTCCCCTTCAACCAAAGTCCACCATCTCCTCCCAGGACTGTGATGTCCCTGCCTGCTGAGTCACCTTCTGAAGTTCTGCCCTCTTTCTCCTCCATATCCCTCTCTGCACTTGAAAAATGTTCTTCTAAAGCCAGTTCCTACAGGTATCATGCCTGCGTTTCACTAGCTACTTCTTCATTAGCCAGTACTTCAGTGCAAGTGCTGTTGAAGTTAAATTAGATTAAGTTAGATGAAGTTAAATTAGATTGTGGATTTACAGTGTATTTATTACCTATGTGTGGTACCTGTGCATGTGTGTACTCTTACCCCACATTAAATGTTGAAAAATGCCCCCATCATCACTGAAGAACAAGCTTTGCTTTACCACAGGATGGACATGTGTACAAGTTTTATTACCACTGACTACCTTCCCTGCTAGTTTCATGAAGCTGTGCCCTGTTTTTCTAGATAAAACACAGATTTTCAAAGATCTTTTTAAAAGGAAAAAACTTGTGGTCTGTGAAGTTGACTCCATTAGGAAACTCCTTAGAGACACGAACATTGACATCCCCATTGCAATGTTGAAATTTTAAATGTTAATTTGTTAGTTTTGCTTTGGAAGCCAAAGACCTTGTGATAAGTGATACCAAATGTGTCCAAATAAGCTATGATTGTGCTGAGCAATCTGCCAGGTTCAGAATAATGCACAACTACACAAATAGCTAGCTTTAATGATGTTTCCTCTACCAATTTAGAGCAGAAATAAAACCCCCAAACATTTGGCTCTCGAGGAACATTGATAAGACTTGTTTAGCATGGATGGCTGATACATAAAGATTTTATGGCATAAATGTTGCCCGTGTATCTGAATGCAAATGGAGGGTTTTATGGCATCATTTCCATTTTCTCCCCCCGAATGTTAATTAAGCAGCAAATGTATGAATAAGATAACATTGATTCTGTTGGCAGGTTGGCAATCAGCTGATCGACTTCTTCTGTGTGCTGGGTAATGCTGGTGCCATTATCTCTTACTCCCAGAGCAATTACTCCTAATATTTAGCAAAACCATTATTCCAAAGATATATTACCTCCAAATGTTTCTGATAAAATATCTTCCTCTTGATAGCTCCCATAATTGCCTTCTGAAATGTGAACCTGTATCTGCTCTTACGTTGATATATTAAATCCTTTTCTTTTAATTAGAGTGTTCAAAGACAAAAGCTTTACAAATGAAATGGAGTCAACTCTCCTCTAAATTAGCCTGAATTATTTATATTACACTCACTTGGGCTGGACCAGGGGCTGTTACTGCTGCCTTGCCAAGCAAGAGTCTTGTGGGACAGTCAGGATGGGCTTTCTTCAAGCTCAGCGAGACAGGGACAGCAGATCTCTTGGTCCTAGACCTCAGAAAGGCCGTGACTAAAAGCTCACTGACTTGCTGAGAGTTCTTCTCCTCAGGAGACTTGGTTAGGTGAAGCCTCTTTGTCAGGGATGTAACTGAACCACTTGTTCTAGGTCACAGAGGTGCAGAGCAGTCTGATATAAACTGCTGTATTCAGACACAACAGGTACAGGACGTTTTTCATAACCAACAAATAAATTTTCAGGGTGTGTCAGAAATCTGAGAGCTCGTTAATCCAATAAATGTCAGGAGAAAAAGAAAATAAATGAAAGCACAGTTGTGAAATGTTTTCCCAAGTAGTGCTCTTTCTCTGTCTTCCAAAAAAAAAAAAAAATTTGTGATGAAAACACCTGATGCACACACAGAAAAAGGAATATAAAAACTGAGCAACGACAGCAGGTACGTGCACAAAATTACTAAGTGAAAATTCAGTGATAGCCTAACAAAAGTGGCTCACATTTTCCCAGCATAAAATCAGCCTGTGCAAAATCCCACTTAATTGTTCAGCTGGACTTCACAGGTGAAGTGAAGAAACTTTATCTGCTATGCCTAAACTGAATGTCAAAACCAAACACCAGGCTGCAATGTACTCAGCACTCCTCTTTGAAAGAAGTTTTTATTGACTTTTCTGCCTCACTCCTTCTTTGTTTCTCCCCCCGCTTTCAACACAGTACTAAAGTGCAGGTAACTGATGCTGGTTTTGGGAAAGGGGTTTAATGGATGTTCGCTTTAGTGGGATATCAGGGTTGTGGTCTGTCTGGCTTCACTATGGACATGCACTCCTGCTGCTTGGGGACCGCTTTGGGACTCCCAAAGGGGGATGCAGGCACCTGTCTCACCTCCAGCAATGTTCTGGCTACCACATGAGGCTGCTTCAAAAGAAAGAGCTCCACCCCTGAACCTTTTAGGGTGGACTGTATGTGTATAGGCAATTACACCAATATGGCTGCAGCAGTCCCACCTCCTTTCCATAGCTGATATGTAGCATGGACTTCAGCTCAGGCCTTTCATTTCCTAGAAAAATATATACAATTAAAATGTAGTTGGAAAATTTAGATCAGTGGCTAAAAACTTTGAATTGGAGGGATTTTTTCCCTTGTTTTATGGTCCAGTATTTTGATGTAGGATGTTTTTTTTCTCTCAGCAGCAGCTCTGCTTTACTGTCGAACCTGGCAATGAGAAAGATTTTGTAGCCAGTAAGTCTGATGCCTTCCCTAAGCCAGAGAGCAAGTTCAGGCTCTTCAATCTGAATTCTTCTGAGCTAAGAAGGTGCTGATCAGTGTTCACTCGTTACCTGATGGGAGTCTGAAAAGGTGTGCTCAGCCACCAATGCTGCATGCATGCATTGAGTATACACCATATACCTTTCCTACATGTAATAATACATAATGAGTGTTTCTAATTAGCTCACACCAGCTCCTCCCACTCCCCTTCTCTCCCCAGGAGAGTTTAGTACTGTCAATGGGAGTTACATTCAGTACACGTAGGGAAATGTCTCCATTAACTTCAAAATTACATTTGATGATATCAATGGGTTGAAGTGGAAATGCAAGGTTCAGAAATGAGCAACCTCCTATTCCCTCAGATAAATTAATCCAAAAGCTGACATTTTATATGTGACTTAACTAGCTTGAACACGAACCAGTTCTGAATGTCCTCATTAAATGTCCAATTTTGTTGGTTAATATTCCTACAGAATCCATTATTAATGTCATCAGAAGAGAAAATATTGTAATTCATTAACTCAATCATGCCTGATTTAATGTGTCGTTAAAAGCATTTGCAACAATCTCAGGTATTATCCAGGTAACTTGAATTAATAACAGGCTTCCTACATGAACTATAAGAGCAATTAATTAGGCATTACCTTAATTGCATATTGCATTAATTATGCATTTACCCAGTGACAGCTTTTAAAATTCAAGCCTTGCCTGAAGACAGACTTAAGAATCAACAAATACATTCTTGACATCTGGGAGCTAAAATCACCTTTTATGCAATCTCTTATTGAGAGAGAATCATAACACTAGACTTGCAAGTCACTTGCAGACGTGGTCACTTTTCTGTTTGTTTTTTTTTTTATACCGATTTTTCATTATTACCCATTTGTTACTGTGTAATATACTTACACACCTTTGCACATTGTACACTCTTAACTAGTAAGAGATTTTTAATCAGTTGTCAGGAAAAAAAAAAAAAAGATTTCAAAATTAAATCCCAAACTATCTCAACTGGAGATGACAGAAACAGAGAAAATGTATTTCCACAAAGCTCATGTAATGGGATCTGAATTAATCTCAGTGATGGACAGGCAGTAGAAATTCCCCTCTTACTAAGTCTTCCACAAAGGATACTCTCCTAACAGTGAGCAACAATGCTTTTTCTTTTGCTATCACAAGCCAGGTGTGGCTAAAAACATTCATCCCTGACTTGTAAGGAAGCTCACAAGCTTTGATAAATAATATATTAATATTGCACAGACAGAACTTGGAATAATTTTCCATATATCTATCATATGTGCTTTGTCTTTAATTTATTTTATGGATTTAGAGTGCTCCCAGTGGTACTGCAATGAAATCAGTGCAGTTATTGTAATTGAATCTACCTTGCCAGGGGAAAAGTCAGCTCTCAAAAAGAAAAAGATATTATTTTACTTTTCCCTTTATTGGACAGACCCCTCTCAGATGTGTACATGTCAAGCTTCAATTTCCAGCTCCTTTGCTGACCAACACTTTTACTGAATTCTGCCTGGAAAAAAAAGGCAAGAATAATGCTCAGCTGAAGGCATTTTCAAGCTGTGTTTAGAAATCACTCCACTCACTTGTGAAGTGCAATCACTTCGAGTGAAGTGAAATGGCTTTTCTAATAGGAAGCAGCCATAGAGAATTTCAAAGTGAAGTTTCAGGGGGAATGGAGACAAGTCAGGCTGTAATTACACCTGGTGAAAATTACCCAGGACTGAAGGCTAACAGAGCATCTCTTTTAAGTCCCAGGGGAATGTTTAAGTGACTGAAAGCAGTGGAGCGTTCCTGTCACAGGAGAGGAGCGAATGATGTGGAACAGACAGAAAAGAGCAGATCTGCTGAAGGGTGAGAGGCAATATTAAGGATCTGGGGAGTCACAGCACAGATGCTGAGGCTGGCTCTGTGTGGGCATGGTTTGCTCTGCTCTCAGGGCTGTGCTGCTTTCTGCTGTGAGCTGGTACCTCTGTGTGGCACCACAGGACCCCGCCTGCATCCAACAGCACAATTCAAGGGTTTCTGCATCTCTGTGCAGTCTGTCACATTTTTGTTCTGTAAAGTACTGAAATACATACACTTACCCAGGGGCCCCAGCAGTTCCTAGGGAAGTTAAATGGATTTTTCTAGGTAGGCTTTGTTTAAGATCAATCAGAAGTTAAATTCCTTTTTGGAAAAGCTTGACTCTGTATAAAATGAATTTATATAAATGTACAATGAGGTCCATTTCACAATTATTATGAATAGCTCCAGGTGACGAAACAGTGCAGGTGACATATCAGCCCATATAGAGCATGTATCTGCAGTCTGCAGCAAATGCATCACTGCTGGAGCCAGGTTTTTTTTATTATTAACTCAGCACTCTGTGTCTCTAGCTGCAAGAAAGATATAACATTTTTTTTATTTCTATGTTTTCAGGTAGGCAAGGTCAGTCTCTGAAATGATGGATATTCAATCATGCCATGCCTGAACACAAGTGTAAGTGACCCATGACAAATGTCCCAAAGGACATTTGCTGGCGCTCACCTAGGACAGCTGAAATTTCCCAAAGAATATCAAAAAATATCAGTTTGGGAAGTCCAAACAAAACCAAAAAGATGTTCATCTCTACATGAGAGAAATAATACTTGAAGTAAAAATGCACAAATGGAAGAGCCTATCTCAGGTCCAATGAAACACGAAAGTGATGGGGTTTTGTTTGTGTTTGTTTTTCAAATCAGATAACAAAATACAAATCAGTGAAAGAGAAGTCATTCTATAGATGTGTTGTATATTAAAACCTTTAAGGAACCGTATAACATCACTAAGGGCAGCTTATATGGAGCACTGCAGGGCCTGTGAAATTCTGCCTGTCACCAGGCTTCAGCAAGATTTAAGCCATCAGAGTCTCTGTGAGGAGGGACCAGCCTGCTGGAGCAAACAAACCTCTTTCCACAGCTGTGGTCAGCAGGGTTTCCTCTTTGCCATTTCCCCCCAGTATGGGGTCCAAGGCTGTTTAGCGTGAGGTTTCTGAGACTGCCTTGGTTTAGTGATGCTCTAAGCTGGGGCCTACAAAAGAGAGCTGGGCCCTGCTTTTGTTCTACGGGGGCTTCAGAAGGGTTTCCCACAGCTCCAAAAGGACACTGCGTGACATTCATCTGCCTGATCTACCCCTTGGAAACCAGCGTGCTGGCTTGATAGCATGGTGTCTTGGGCTTCACTTGTCCACTGCATTGTTAAAAACTTGTTTGAGTTCCTTACAGCCTTGTAGGCGTTCCCGTCCTTTAAATAACATTAATAAATACATTTTCAGAAAATCAATATAACATCAAGCTGTAATAGTCTAACCTAGCCCATCAGATAAATAACACAGGTTGCATAATTATTGGTTGCCTAAAAATTGCTCAGCCTGGTCTTTGCTACAAAGGGAGATAAAAATTACTTGTCAAACACAAAATCTGAACAAGCTGACCAATGTCTGCATCAAGTAAAATATTCATGTCAGCTTTATAATATCTAATAGAATTATATCAAATTGGTGTTTTTCTGTTGTGTGAAAAGGACCCTTTATGAAATTGTGCCTGTGCACCATTTTAATCTGAATGACAAGCAGCACTGCCCGGCTTTGAAGTGATTTCTCCAACCTCCCACACCTGGTTGGTATTTGGAGCCTTTGGTTATGTTCATGGTGTCACCACGGAGTACAAGATGGTGATTTGCAAAAGAAGAAAAAAAAATAGCTTAGCATGAAACTGTATAGGACTGTTCTTGTTGCCAGAAATGGCATTAATATTCCTGACAAATACCCGCTCTGTCAAAGTGCAAACATTTTCTCATAGTCAGCTTTACAAAACACATAAGATAGTCCACCCAGAAATGAGATGCCTGGGAGTTAAGTGAACAACTGACTTCTTGTCTGTTCTTTGTATAAGGGGCTTTATGTTCCCTACTTATTCCAACAAAGTATGGATTTTGAAGCTGGTAATTGCATGTTTCAAAGGGAGAAGTTTGTTTAGAATACAGAACAATAGAAGAGGAAATTATTATATAAGGGCATTATGAAAAGATTCCTGGGATTAATGATCTAAACTTGCACAATATTGATGTTTTCTCTAGATTTCTCTATATGATGTTTTCTCAATAACCATGTTTTCACAGAGATGTTCCACTAATCTATTCAATTATTCTATTTGTTCCAAGCGTTAAATAGCAAATTAAAGTATTTTTCTTCTCCTACTTCTTATTTCCTACTTTGAAAAGTGCTAATTTGATTTCATGATTTAGCTTTACTCATGCTGAGAATGTATCAGGGCTCTGTCAGACAGTAAAGAAATTAAGTAGATAGCGCCTTTGATTTTGAGCTGCTTTCATTTATTTATTTTTTTTGCATCTCAGATTTTCAAGCACTGTGTCAGACAGTGTCATCAAGAATAAGTCTATCATAAATGCTCTGATTTCAGGAACCTCTTCATCACTCGTAGTGAGATGATCTGTGGCACAGAACAGCCAAGTCATTCCCTCTTGTGTTCACAACATGGTCTTTGTAGCCCATAATAGTATTAGTCTACATGAAACATGGGCATGTATCTGGTCTTCTGCTGTTTCTGACAGGAAATGTCTTCCACTGCTCTGCCTGTGTCCTCTAACTGTCCTTTATGCCTCTGCCATAGAGTAGGGAGTGGTGTAAAAGATGTCCGTATTTCCTTCTCCTGATAGGGCTTTGAGCCAACAACATGCTGGTAACCTAATTCTTAATTACTTTCGTTGTACTTGTCAATTAACAAAGCCCTCAAGATATTAATCTTGCTTTATTTGTGTTAGAGAGACAGTGCTGCTGCTTGCCTAACTAGCCAAACAACCAGATTAGGAGTGTGCAGGCTGCCATTTTCGCCCACACATTCCTTTGTCAGATGGAAACTGGTTTGATCAATTCTGGGTATCAGTGACTTTTTTAAATTTTTATTTATTTCTACTGTAAAATCAGTGATCTTCACTGAGCATTTGATGGGCACCTAAAGTGCCTAGCACTGATTATGTGAGAAAAAGTTATGCTATTACTGATTCATATTTTGCATGTGCACACAGATGTATGCATAAAAGGTAGGAATCCCTTCAAAGCACTGCTTTTGCCAATGTTCAGCGATAATGTTACTCCCTAAATTTGCTTGCAGCCTACTGCTGAGCAAAGGACTTAACCAAAGGGAAACCTTCCCACTTGTGTCTGCAAAACTCCAATTTCCGAAGAAGCATCTTCTCAGCAAGCACTACAGTTCAGCAAAGTGCCTAAGGGTACTTCCTGACATGACACCTTTGATCTCCTACTAAGATGTGCCCACACAAATGAAAGTGCCCGACTATAACCTCAAGGCACACTGTTTAGTCAGTACAGTACCATGATGCAAGTCCCCAGCCATTCTACTGAAGCTTACTGTAAATTACATGTAGATGAAATGTGCCCCAACACCTATTTTCAATATCAAGTTTCTCTTACCAGGTTAGGATTTGTAACACATTTATAAACAGCATTTATCCTAGCCCATTCAGAGTGTATAACACATTCCCATGATATAGAAAATAAAAATGCAGGGCTGTGTTTAGCTGTATTCTAGTCCAAAAGCTGCTGCATGCTGAGGCAAGGCACCAAGAACACTTGACTTGTGTAGTAACATCTGGTACCATTCAGTGGCTATTGTTCGACATTTGGTTATGTTTTTCCAGAAGTTTGATTCAGTCCTTCTGTGAGGCAGCGGTTTGACTCGTGTACACAATGAGTGCAGACCCATCCAAGCCAGTGACCACAGTGAGTAAACCCCAGAAGCGGCATGCAGAGATGTTTCAGTTAGCTCTGCGGGAGCCGTCACTGCAACCAGAAGCAGGGTTAGCTATGCCAGGGTGTGCTCTGCCCCAGCTAGACAGCACTGCCAGGAGGCTTCGCGACCCAGGCTGGCAGATTTACATGGTGCTTCACTGAGCCATGGGGACTCACCAGCTGGACGTCTGTCCTAGGCTCCTCTGGGTTTCTGCTCCTGGCTATGCCATAGTTCTTCAGTCCTCTCTGAGCGGAAAACCTCCACAAGAGCGGGTGAGGGAAGGACAACTGCACAATGGGAACCCGTACCCCTCATCCGGAGTGCCTCCGCTCAGCACAGCCCCAATCCGTCATCCTGGCCTGAGAATAGGAACCGGAGATGATGAATGGTGTATAAAATCTCTGGACATGAATATTAACTGAGTTGTCCCGAAATGGCTGGATAAGGTAGTGAAACAGTCACTGCTTCTCTTCCCCAACATAGTGGGACTGAAATTAAGCATCCATCCTCCCTGTAAGCAATGATTGATTGGCAGGATCTGTCCTGAGGTGTGATGCTGTGGCTTCCCAGTGGTAGTTGGTAGTATCCTACACGCTGTGTTTGCTCATGTAATGGTTGTTCTTTCCCCTCCGTTTTGGCTCAGACCTGAAGTGTGACTGTCGTGTCTCAGTTCCTGAGTGACCACTGTGTGGTCAAACATGGAGCACCAAACAGGATCTGCAAATGTAAACAGCTCTGATACCCAGAGAACTGCATACTGGGAACCCTAAAATCAAGCCACAAGGCAGGTGAAGACAGTAATTTGACCACCCATCAAGCCTTCTCCTCTCCAGGCTGAGCAAACCCAGCTCCCTCAGCCCCTCCTCATATATCACACTCCCCAGCTCCCAGTCTTGGTGGCCCTCCACCAGATGAGTTCCAGCTGGTCAACATTTTCTTGTCCAAAACTGGACACAGCACTCCAGATACAACCTCATGAGTGCCAGAGACAGAGAATTAATCATTTATCTGGACCCGCTGGCTACACTGTAATATAGACCAGGACACAGTTAAATGCCGTTGCTTCAAGGGCACACTGCTGACTCTGATTCATCCTCCGCAGCTGCCAGGTCCCCTTCTGCAAAGCTGAAGATGAAATAAAATAAAATAAAATAAAAATTCTAAAGCAATGGACTTCCAAAGAAATCCCTCAGAAAATAATGTGATACTTTCTTCTCTCTGGTGTCTGTTCTGATGAATTGATACCCTCACTTAACATTCCCATTTCAGAACACTCCTTATTCCTGAACATAAACTCACTCATGTCAGCAAAGAGCTCTACACCAGCAATGATCTCTCTGGTGCCAGCACGACACAGCCACACTGCATCGACCCACTGTGTGTCTGTTTATACAGACTATAAAAACAAAGCACCAAAAGCTGTAAAATCACCAGGAGGTTGCTGTTCCTTCAAGGCCTGCATAAATGAACACGGATGTGGGGGGCTGTGGTGCCATAGTCAGTGAGGTCTGTTTCCTTCTTGCTGTCCAGGAGATGGGGATGCATTTGTCACATAAGGTGTCTGTCCAATGCTTTTGCTCCACAGGAAGACAAATTCAAACACTTAATTTTGCCCGTTGCCACTTGTATGCAGCTCATCAGCATGGCCCTGATTAAATTCAGGGAGAATCACTGAAGAACACTGCTGTGACCGGCACTGGCAGTGACAGAAAAAGGATTTTCCTGCTGCTACATTGTACTGTAGCTGACTGCTTTTAGAGATGCCAGCTGTATTGTCAGAGCAGATTTATTGAATGAGAAGGTGTCAGAAAGCTTGTAGGAGAAGTGCCCACGCTATTAACTGTAGGAAAACTGCCCTGAGAAGAAAAATCCCGAGCTTAGGCCAGTCACTCAGTTTGACATCTGCTCTCATTGGTGGCTTGCTTGGAGTCAGCATCCCAGGTAATGCCATGTGTCACAACCAGAAAACCTTACAGGTCACCCGTCTACATCCTGAACTCACCTCCTTTAAAAGCTGTTAACAGGTCTAACAGACCTCTGTTGCCATATATTTAGGTCCTTCTGGCTTGCCTTCTTTCCCTCTTCAATTTCTACCCTGCACAGAAAACTCTGACTGCCCCCATCAGTGGGTTTAAAAACATCTTCTTGTCTCTGAGTGGGATAATGATATGTCATGGAAGAAACACTGTGTCATGAAATGACAATAAATGCCAGAGGGGCAGTGGGACATCAAAATACTATTTACTAAAAATATATGTAGTTCTTGAGATCCCTCAAAACTGCCTTTTTACTTCTTCCTCTACTCAATGACTTGCCAAGCCTAAACTAACTTTAGGAAGAAAAAAGGTATAATATCATGTCTAGGTCTTCCACAGAAAGTACAAACTTGAAATGCCTTTGAACAGTTTTTTTGGAAAGCTTTTTGCAATCTTCTTGATATCATCAAAACTAATGTCTTCTGGATCATAATAATACAATATTAATACAAAATTAATACAACAACATTAAGGTCTAAAAGAAATGAAAGCTTTGGTTTTGGTTAATGTGTGTTTAAAGAACAAAGCATTTCTTGTAAGAGTACAGGCTTTGCAGAAAGTCCTTAGCACCTTTTCCACAAGGCAAACATTCTTGGGAATGGAGTACCTTTTAGATCTACAAAGGGACAATTCACAAACTAGGGACAAAAGACAGAAGATCTGGTGGATTTAGTTATGCTTTCTGTAAAAACTGACAAAACAAAGGTTTCCTATATCTAGAACTATAATTTATATTGTTTGTCCAATGAGGAACGTCCAATGGAAAAGTAAAATCCAAACGTGTCTTATCTCAGGTGGGAGGTGTACTATAGCTAAGGACGAGACTTGCAAGACATTTCATAAACTGTGGAGAGAAATTAGTGCTATTAACAGATTGCTTA